TTACATGTCCCACTCGACCACATCCTTCCCACCTCCATCAATAACCCCCATGGCTGAAATCCCCTTCAAAAACTACCTAAATACCTTCCTGATGGCTTCAGATACTTTAAATGATTTCAATAATAAATTAACATAATTAAAAAGTATTAAAAGTATTAAAGTAACTTAAAAAAGCTATCTGGGCGCGGGAAGGGGCCTGGGGAAGAGGGGCGAAGGGAAAGGGGGCGTGGCCTGCCGGGAGACGGGCCCCCACCCCTTTTACTAAGGAAAAAACTTTCAAAGTTAATTTTAATAATTTAAACTAAAACTTTTTCATAATTTTTTTATCAGTTTTGGGGTTTCTGACCACGCTCTATCCGAATCCGAAGAGACCTAAGCTCTAGCTCCTTTCCCCTTCGAGTTGAATCTGGGACATGACGGACGGACAGACAGACACCACAGCAAAATTATTATAGTAGATATATTTGCCGGCGAAACATTGGGTATCCCTTTAACTCCGGTCACCCATTGGCCGTCTAGATATTACTCGGTAGAGGATTCCTCATAAAACATTTTTTTTAATAAAAAAGATTTTTTGAAAGGAAGTTTTTAAAGCGAAATTTTTAATAATTTGAATTTTAGGTACAAGCCGTTTTCATCTAAAAATGTCCAAACTTTCGACTTTTTCAAACATTTTTCTATTTTTTTGGAAGTTGTTATGCTTTGAATATAAATAAAACTTAATAAAAAACCAAGATTTATAAGTACACTTTCTATTCGTTTCCTAGGCCAAGCGGTGGCCGCCAAGAAAAAAAATCCTACTATATATAAAAAAATAGTGTCTGTGTGTGTGTATATTTGCATGCAACTTCCGTAAGTATGTACCGCACCTACAGCCTCAGGGGAAGGTTTTTAAGGTATGTTTGATACGTCATTAGATGCGTAATGGTCCCGAGATGGGTGCACACATATAAAATTTAAGAAAATCGGCTGTTTTCGCTATTAAAATTAAGTTTATGTAAAGATATCGAAGAACCTCTTTGTTAGGAGGCAATTAGCATTGACCGGAAGTGGCCGTAGCCTATAAAAAGGCAGGGAGGGTGCACTTTTCACTTTTTGGTGATCGACATTCGGCAAGCCCTATGTAAAGTCAAATATTCAGAAGTCCTAGACGGGGCCAGGGTTGAAAAGCCGCGAAGCGGTTTTTCAACCCTGGTTGTGAATTAAAGAACCAGGCTAGCCCAAAATTATCCAATTTCCGGTTCCACATCACTACGCTTTTTCCAGTGTCAATTTTCAGACTCGGCCGAGCAGCAAGAGGAGATGCTACTACAACTGGCCATCCAGCAAAGTCTCAGCGATTCGGGCCAAGGGTCTGGCGCTGCCGATGCCGGCGGAGCTGTCGCTTTTCCGATTGGTTGGTGTTTGTCGTGTATTTCCGTTTTTTGTTTTGGATTTTACGTTAGAAATCCCTTTTTTTAGATCAGATCCCGTTTGCCTACAACGGCGAGGACGCGCAGCTGGCCATGGCGATACAGGTGAATTTTTATAAGTTTTTGTAACGAAAGAGAGCGAACAATTAATTGGAAGTTTCCTTAAATTGCTGGTTACATTTCCGAAACACGTTCTATTTTTTTTTTTTTCAGGAAAGCCTGCGCCTGAACAATGGAAATGAGGGTGAGGCCGACCAGCAGCAGCAGCAAGTCGTCGCGCCCTTTCAAATGTTGGCGAACAATGCGCTGGAGGTATTTTTTTAGTTTTGTATTTGAAATGTTAAATAAAGCTATGCATAAAAATACTTTATTCACATTAATTTTTAATGTACAATTCTGTAATGGATAATGCCGACCCCGCGTTGCATTTTGCCGCGTTGAAAATGGAAAAAAAAAATCTAAAACCTAGAATTTATTCCCGGCTCCTTTTGATTATTCAAAGAGACCACGATGTTTTTTTGCATATAAAGCCCCTATTTTAAAAATTAAATGTTTTAAGTTAATTAAGTATTAAATGTTTTTATTTTTATGCATGTATGTTCGGCTGCCTTTATAATTCTCAGAGACTACGATATTAATCCTGTAAGGTATCTTAATCCCCTTTAAGCATATTTTTTTTCCAGGATGACCTCGCCCGCGCCCTTCGCATCTCGCAGGCCGAAGATGAACAACGCCGCCAACAGCTCGACAGCGACGACGAGGAGTTGGCCCGAATACTGGAGATGTCGAAGACGATCAAATGAGAGGCCGGGATCCTTGCGCACTTTTTTGTTTCATTAATTACCCGGGGAAGAGTACTGTATTTTCGGGCCTAAAATTGCAGAGAATAGGGGTTCTTGAAAAAAAAATAGGTTTCAAGATGCGAGGTATAGAATTTTCGCCTTAACACATTAAGGGCAAGCTAGGTACCCAAAAAATTGCTTTAAATCTCATTAAATGGTGTTATCGAATTTTTAAATTAAATTCTAGAAAATGTGTTTAGGCGGATTTTGCGATTTTATTAAATTTAAATTCCCATTGCGTAGTTTTATAATTTCTAAGAATTTAATTAGGTAAAACTGTTTTTATGGGTTTTAAATTTTTTTTAATTAAATTCCCTGCAAATAGTTTTATCGATGTTAAACTAAATTCTCTAAAGAAAAAATTTGTCACGCTTTTATCAATTTTTCTGGATTTAATGAAATTTTATTTCCTATTTACCGCCCCAAAGTACAGTACACTCGCGGAAATTTTTATGGCCCTTTTCGGTAACTTTACTTAAATTTTTATAACCCGTTTTTATTGATTTTTTTTTGCTGTGTTTGTATCCTACTGTATTTCGCCTTTTTTGGCCTGCACATAATTACTAATATCACTACGAAAATTCCGGTGTCTGTCTTCAGTTGTATCGAGTGTCATTTTTTGGCTTTGCAAAGAATACCCCCCGCCTGCCAGCAATACCACCAATATCCACTTAACGTTGCCTTCTTTCCGCTTTATCCTTACTGTATTTTACCGTACGGTAGTGTAGCGTAACGTATATATCGTAATTTAATATATACGTGATCTGTAATTTTTGCGCGTCCGGTACCGTACTGTCGCCATGGTTCCATTACTGTATTTTCCTGCGTACTGAACGTACGATACTGCAACGTACCATGCTGTAACGTAGCGTAGCGTAACGTGTCTCCGTACTACTCCAGATAGTTTAATGGAACGTACAGGGCCGTACTATTAACGTGGCTTGTTACCGTATCGTACATACCGTGCTGTATTCTACCGTAAGGACTACTCTATCGTCTCCACCGTACGACTGTAATCTTCTGCGACGTACGTTACCGTACTCTCAAAATCTCGTATTTTGTGCCGTGTAGCCTGTCTTTTTTCCCTTTTTTGAAAGTTCCCAGCCCTGTTCTTTGCTTCAATTTTACTAGTCGCGATTTTGTCTCTTCTAGTTATTCTTGGGATTTAAAGGCACATACCACTTTTGGCTGCGTTTTTCAGAAAAAAAGGTGTTTTTTCATGCCTTTCAAAGGGACCTGTCCCTTTAACGCCTATTTTTTAAACTTTTAACCGCCCGATTCGCGCCCTGTCACCTGTGATCGATGCCCCCCATTTCTGTGGTTGTAATTTTTCGCGCAATAAAATTGATATGGTAAGGCATTGATGGCGGTATTTTTGCGATCGATTACGAAATCAAAGCATACAGAGCAATTATTGAAAAAAAATCTCCCCGATCGGGTTTTGTCGAAGTAACATGTCTTTTTAAAAATCTTCTAGGTGGGAGTTTGTCGCAGAAGGTGCTCAACTTGCAGAGTTTCTTGGGGAAATCCCAAAATCGAAGCTTCAAGGCGGTGTCGAATTTCGATTACAGTTTTTTCTTTAGTGTTTTGGTAATGGTTTCGAACTTGCGAAATGCTATGGTCATCAATGGGATTTGGCCAAATCACTTAAACATGTTCCTTCACCGAAACATAATTTTTGTTAAATTTGCTGTGAGAGATGTTTTTAGATGAGGAGCAAAAGCGGCTGGCCTTAGGCACTGCCGATTATACAAAAATTCTTTTCAGGTATGTTCAGTTATTAAAAAACAACCCGCAACCCAAATTTTTCTGAAAATTTGCAAACAGATAGAAGAATAAAAGTTTAAAAACAGAATAAATAATCATCACCTCGTTCGACGAATTTTCTACAGAGCTTTAAACCCAGAGATATTCAAGGTTTAGAGCGATTCTTTAGCCAAAGGCATCGAGCCTAGGACTCGATTATTTTGATCGTCCCGGCAGATTTTGCAAAAAATACATTTAGCCAACGCATACAGAAAAAGTTTCTCTTTAGAATGAGACCTCTGACTCCAGAATTTTTGAAAACTTTGAAAAAATTGGCGATGCTTGGGATGGAATTACTGTCATTTTTCCTCAACTCATGTTTCAAAAAATATCATTTCTGAGAATCATTTTTCCTGAAGCCGGCCCCACATCGAAAAGGCTCTTTAGTATAGTTTACTGTGGTTTTAGGAAAGCGTTTAGTCTAGATTTAACTATATTGGAAGTGAAAAAGTATCAACAAAAATAAGAAAAAAGTTTGATAAAGGCCAGGTAAATGCTGTGATAACAAAAAATGACAACATTTGGCCTTTCTTCAAATATTCACGCATCCTAATTTTAATGACAAACTTTAGGACAGATGAACTTTGGGAAAAATGATTTTTAGAAAAAATGAAGGTGAGCCTTCCACTGCTCAGCCAATTAAAGAAAAGGCATGTTCATGAGGCAAAACATACTTTTTAAAATGTCGAACATCCAATACAATTTTCTTGATTGCCCATCCAAATGCTCTAGCCGTGCCATTAAAGTTTTATACCCCAGAAAAAGATAAGGAATTGACGCCCCGGGGCGCCAAATTTTTTCTGACGTAAAATTGATTTCGGCACTCTTTATTATTCCGAATTACGCCGTATTTCTTTAAAAACATGTTAATTGACCTAATTCACTAGCAAATTCCCCTTATAATTTCGTACATTTTATTCCAAAACCGTGTTTTTTAGAAATGCGGCAATTTCGGCACGATATTGCCGCCTTGCGGGCGGTGGCAATTTTGGCGGTGCTTGGCTATCATTTTTTGAAGAATTTCTTCCCGAATGGATATCTTGGGGTGGATTTGTTAGTTTTTAAAAGAATTTAGCACTATCTCGCTATTTCTCTCTCTGTCACTCTCTCTCTCTCTCTCACTTACTCTCTCTCTCTCTATGTTCTATCTATCACTCTCGCTCTCTCTCCCTCTGCTCTCTGCTCTATCTCACACTGTCTCCATCTCTCTCACTCGCTCTCTCTCGTCTCCCTCTCTCTCTCCCTCTCTCTCTCTCTCTCTCTCTCTCTCTCTCTTCGGCTTCTATAGCTTTCAGATTTTTCGTCATTTCCGGCTATTTAATCCAACGTATCCTTCTCGAATCTAAAGAACAAAAATCATATTTATTAATCTTCAAATTCTATCGAAAAAGGCTAAAAAGAATATGCCCTCTGTATTTTCTGGTGATGGCCATGACAGGTAATTTGTAAATAACTTTTATGCCTTAAAAATTCAGGCCTTTCCATGATATTAGCATATACAGCACCGTGGGCACAGCGATACTTTGCCAAATATATTTTTGCGCTGTTATTTTTGTTGAATTTTTCCATGATCGAGGATGCGGACGATTATTTCGCTGAGGTTGGTGATTCCCCTAGAAAAACTTGAAACATATCCAGGACACCTCGAAATTGCCATTTCTGCATGTTTGGTCGTTGGCGGTGGAAATGCAACTTTATCTGGTTGCTCCGCTACTATTTATTTTGGGGCAAATAAAGATTAGAGGTAACAATTATAATTCAGAACGGGAAAAACGTTTTAAAATCTTCTAAAATTCGGCTATTAGTCTACGAGAAGAAGCAAACTATCAAAGTGGCTAGAAATATGGCACTAGATTTTTCCTAGCCGAAAACCCTATTTGAAGAAATATGCTTTAAATAAAATACTTTAAGTCTTCAAGTCCAATTTGTTAATGCGCCTCCCTTTATTCCTTGAACCATTCATGGGGGGTTAGCGATTTTCCGTTTTTCTACTTGATTGTACTACAATGTTTCACCAAGTATAAGAAAGTTATAACTTTCGAATAGAACATTCATCTTCCAGATATCAGATCCATGATATATAATCAATGATGAAGGGTCCATGTAAACTAAAAAAAAATCCGAAAAAAAGAAAGTGTTTCGATTAAAATTCCCCGTGAGCCCAGCTATTAGGCTCTAATCGGCACGTCGAAAGAATTCTTTAAGCCACGTTTAAGTTTGTTGGTTCCTAAACACGCAAATGAGATTTCGATTTTTGCCAAAGTGTATTCGAGTATAAATATTCGTTCGCAATATTTTCAAATAATCAACTATTATTATAACGGCTTAGCAACGAAAAACTAGTAAAGACACTATATTAAACTACTTAAAAATCGGATTAGGCCGACCTAAAAGAATTACAGCATCGCTTTTCCAAAAAGGATTCATAAAAATTAGAAGCCAAGAATTTCAAAAAAATATGTTTCAGGAAAACTAAGAAATTAGCAAGTTTTAGGCCGATCAATTAACAAGCTGATCGTGATCGTTGCTTTTGCTCTTTCCCTCTTCTACCGTATCCAAGCCGCCGAAATTGCCGCATTTTATCACCCGGTTGGCCGATTGTGGCAATTCGTGGCTGGGATGGTGTCTGCGGGTTATTCCACACGAAAATTAAGCCCAGGTAAAATTTACATTTTTTTGAAAAAAGCTTGTTTCAGGAAAACAGCAGCATTATCAAAATTTTCTGCTCATTAATGCGGTTGTGCTAACCTCTATCTTCCTACCTCTAAGTCTGGCGACTGGACCGTTTTCTAAAAAATGCGCTCAAATTTGGATTACGGTAGCCGCTGCCATGTTTTTATGGCAGGGAGAAAAGAGGCAAATTTTTATCTAGTTTATTTAGTAATAATATTATTATTATTATTTACTGGTTTATCAATAACATTCTAAAGGTTTCCATTTATTTCCATTTTGGTAAATGTCAAAATAAAGTGTTATTGATCAAAAATTTGTTACTAGAACCTATATATTTTTTGAAACCTATTTTTTTCTCTTGCTTATTCAGTGGTTATCCTCGAGAAACGAATTTTAATAAAAACGCTTTTTAATTTTACTTGAATTCGAATTGTCGCCCAAAACACTACAAAAGTAGTGATGATCACAATCGCGATAAATAAACTATAATTTTTTAATTTCGCTGATAATCATTGGTTACTGTAACACATATTTTTCGAGTAGGCCGAAATTTTTTTATTTCGTAACTTCGATAATAGGCTACGGTAATTTTTTGTTTTTATACCGTAGAAAAAGTAATAAAAGCCAAATCTCTAGTTGGCAGTGGTTATGCTGTAGTATGGGAAATGACTAAAATCGACCGTTGCTTTCCCCGTAAATACTAATTTGAATCTCACGCGACGAGAGTGATTATATTTTTTGAGAATGCTGATTCTTTTTACCGATTGTTGTAACACGTAATTTCAGGAAGGCTTTTAATCGATCGAAAAATCGTTAATTTCGTTTTGAATGTAGATTTGTGACGTTTTTACGTTTAAGAATAGTAAGAAAAATCCTAAAAACGATATTTTAGGGCATAGTTATGTACATTGGAAAAATTGACTCCGATGCAAAAAAGTCGCTCCATGATAAAGCTACAGTACCCAGTTTTTTACAGCACTTTCCCCTTTAAATGCCTTCGTCTCGGGTATATCGCCAAAATATCATATTCGCTATATTTAATACACTATCCATTGCTTAAAATCGGCCAATATTTGGGTGAATTTTACGGTAAACAAAGCTTTGGTAGGTATAAAAAATCCATTTTTAATTTAATTCTATTTTAGTGACTCCGATTGCCTTTTTTACAACGATACTAATATCTATATTAATCCACCATTTCTATGAAGCAATATTGCTAAAAAGTGGCTATATGGAAAACCTTTTAATATGCCTTAAATACGCCGGAATTGCATGGCTGCTTTGCTGGAAATGGGAGACGATTTTGAGGCCCGATTGTGGTAAGCTGGATTAATCTAATTTATTAAATGCATTTAACAGATTTTATTTTCAATTTACAATTCTGTTTTTAATTTAACAGCTTTGGTTTTTGATATTTGGATTTTTTTCCTGACTTCTCGGATGAACGCGCCCAAGAGCGTGTGAAATTCCAGGAAAATTGAGCGTTTGGCAATTGTTGATTAAATTTTTTTAGATAAAACCGTATAATTAATTGTACAAAAAACGTTGCACTAAAACGTAAATCTAAAATTGCGTTCCGAAAAAATGTTTTAATGAATTGTGGCAAACTGATTTGTTTTCGATGTATAATTCGTGGTCTTTTTTGGTCAACCAAACTGGCGTAATAAGCTTGAATTTCAAGTAACAGCAAAACAGCAGTAAAAACCGTGGATCTCGAAAGATCTCTAAAAGTGGAACCGAATAGATGACGATGAAAACTGATCAAAAAGACGAATAGCGATTAATGTACTTCGAATGGGTTGCGTGGTTAATTTTTATGAAACATATTTTTCAACAAATTTAACCCCAAAGACAAATTCCAGTCCAAAAAGCGGCGATCGCGATGAATCTGAAGTATGCAAAGTCGATGTACAATCTGACGGGCGGAATTTTCGTTGATGATGGTTTTTGGGAGGCCGACACCACCATTTGGCCATTATTCATACCAGGTTTGAAAATAAGGAAAAATCACCGAGTAAATGCGCATGCCTCGAAAAAATGTTTCTTCCATATTTGGGATGATGCGGCGTCGGAAATTTATAATGGTTGATGATAGGTTAGAGCTATCGCGATACTACATGAAAAGATTACCTAAAAAGCTAAAGTATCTTTCGTTGCGATTGGATTTCTGCGAATGCAATATCGCACAATTTTTGGAGCGGTACCGATCAGACATCAAGATACCAAAATCGAAATGGCGTATTTAGCTGAGGAATCTTAAAAGCGTGTTTCATTGCTATAGGAATTTAGGAGTATATAGAAACCCATAATTTCGAGCCTATTGGTTTACACAAGTTGGCCCCTTAAAATACCTTTAAAACTTGAAGTTGACGGATCAATTTCAACCCCCCCACAGCTTTCTCTCAATCGGTCTGCATTTTAGATTTTTTGAGATTCTGTGCATATTTATGCGTTTTTTTCATCTACAGTTTTCGCTGTTACGGTCAAATAAAAAAGCTCTTGCAGTCCTGGTTGGTTCTACCTTGTCTGGCCCTTTAAAAGTAAGGAAAGGATCCAGATGAAAAAAAATATGTTTCGTCGACGTTACACCTTTCCGAGCTTTAAAAATACGGAATCATTACGCGTTAATGTTACCATTATATCGTCCTCCTTCATTTCGGCTATTTTGAAACGCGTCTACCGTAACACTGAAACCTCAATATTTGTTTCAGAACAATACAGGAAGCACAACAATTGTTGTTATTGGCAACTCCTGGGCTACACAACAGTCCTACGTACGTGAAACTTCATTATTTGCGAGTACCAACTTCATTTAATTTTTCATTTCTTACATTTCAAAGACAACGCATTTACAACAGCAAATTCCTTTATTTTTTTTAGTTTGATGGTACGCAATAAAACACATAACATTCATTTTCAAGCTGATTCTTAACCTTTTCTCGCCTGAGTCAACGAAATCATTTGATGTCTTTACGATGCCTGCCTTGTGCGTGGTTTTGCACCCAGAAAAGGGTAATGAACTAACACAATTTTGATAACTTTATTTCTTGCAGGGAAAACGCAATTTGTCATGAAGTTTTTACGAGAGGAGAGGCCGGATTATGTGTTTTTGCTACTACGGTATGTGGAGTTTTCAAGCGGGGTTTTGTGGACTTAAATTAAAATTGGCGTATTTTAATCGCTAGAAATTTTTTTATAATGACAGCTACTGCCAATACTGCTAGTACTTTTCTTAAATTTTATGTATGTCAATATCATTTTATGTATGTTAATAGGTTATATATTTTCGGCGAATACCAATTGAGAATTTTTCAGTGGTTTTGCTACCTTATCCGGAGCGAAACAAGCTTTTTAACGGCTTTATTTTTGCATTACCGGTCAACGGTGTAATCAGGATAAAATTGCGTAGCGGAACACAAAGAAACCCGCACATACAGTCACAAATATTCAGGTACAACGATCACGCCCACGATTTGGAGCCCTTCCAAGGAGATGAAGATCCGGTTTTGAAGAATTATTTGGATGGATTGCTGGAGGCCAGGTAAGATCCATTGTATCTGGGCAAATTACCTCGGCGTTTCACTGAGAGTTTCTTGGAAAAACGGTGAAACTCAGAAATTTAATTAAAATGTTTTGGGGGTGTAAAAGTTAGCAAAGCTTTGAAACCGAGTTAACTCCGCTTGTAATTTTGCTCATATACGCAGCAAAATTTTTACAGCTTTGATTGAATACTGTTTCTACTTCTACTTCTTTAAAGGGGGTCGGATGTCTGAATTCGCATAACTACGTTGTTGCCGCTGTCAATTAACCATGTTTTTTTATGTTAAAATCGGCTCAAGTAGGCGCGAGGGCGCGACCTTATTTGGCTGATTCGCCAGGAATTAACCGGGGAGCAGGATTGGCATGGTTTTTTAGTCTCTTTAATTTGAGCTTTTAAACTTTCCGTACTCGAAACTTCAAAAGACGTGGCATTTCAAGGTGTCGAAAAAATGTTTCAGGTGATTGTCAAGTGTCAAAAAAAATACCCGCCATTTCACGGGTATAGCTTATTTTTGCGCTACATGACTTCAGCCGAAGAAACAACGCGCCGACGCATTCATTGCGGCCGGTTTTGCATAAAATCAAGTGTGTCTGAACTGCGCATTAATTCCAAAAGTTTGGTTTTTGGGCGCCAATTAGCTGCAACACATTTTTGTTTCGGCAAGTGCGCTAGAGCAAATTTCTTCGAAATCACGCCGTTGTCACCTCCAAACAGGCGTCGTTAATAAGTCCGGTCGTGTTGTGGCCGAATTTAGCTGATTGCCATGAATTGATGGGATAGCCGACCTGCCTTCTAGGCCCCTTTCACATGCATGAGCTTTTAATTGAGGCTTTCTCTGCTCGAAGCCCCAAAATGGATACTTCAACGTTTTCGCAAAAAAAATTTTTGAGGCGTTTTTAAATACGGCGTGCAAAATTAGAGGGCAGTCGATTTCGTAGAGTGTTTTTGAGCTTGCTCGTTGATTCCAATCGAAAAAATTAATGCCTTCGCATTGTTTGCCGCCGGTTTTTCGTTAATTAAATAGTTTTTTAATTTTTTTGCACCATTTGTCGTTGCTACATGTTTCCTTTCAGCAAGTGTACGAGAACAAAGTTTTCCGAGTTCGCGCATTTTCGCCTACAAGAAGAGGCTGTCCAAACCCAAAGCAGCCATATTGCGACCGGATTTGGCTATTTGCCAGGAATTACTGAGATGCGGGAGGGGGGCTGACCGAGGGGGGCTGCATCGCTCTTAATGTAGACTTTCTGCGCTCGAAACTCAAAAATACGCAGTTTCAATAATTTCGGAAAAATGTTTCAGGTATTGGTCAAGCTGAAATCTAGCAGCGCCTTCATTGTTTTTATCGGGTTTATAGAAAATAATCAATGTTCGTACTGTATATTAATCCGCGATTTTTTATTTTTCGTTTCCGTCTGTTCGCTACACATTTTTGCCGACTGAATCCCAAGGCCACGCAACACTTCAACATTTTCGAAAAAATGTTTCATCCATTTGCCAGTCTGTCGTAAAAAATTATTAGGGAGTTTCACGTCCGGAGGAGTTGTATAACGGATTTTCGAACCCGATCACTGTTTTTGCTTAAAGGGGCTCTCAAAGCGTTGACTCCTGGCAAACAGCCAGAGGCGACCGCAACGCGGTCGCGCCGCATGATCTTTTGCCCCTTTTTGGACGTGAAAACGCAATTAAGAAAATTGACCAATGAATCACGGAGATCGAGAGATTGCCTTACAAGGCCTTACGACATGTAATCGTCGCACACTCAAAATGTCGTTTTCGCCCAAGAACTTGTCGGTTTGTCTCAAATCATTTACGTTTTTTTTTCGCAACGCAATCGATTTTCTGGTGGTTCTCGACCGTGACTCTTTCGTTTTTTTTGGGCAGAAAGTTCAATCCCCGCACGCACAAATTTTGGCTGCCGAGCCCCTTTAAAGACTACCAGAACGATGGAACGCGCACTGTCACCCCAAGGGTGCTGCCCCCAAGAACGCGCAGAGAGCGTCGTCATTAGTGGTGTCCCGTTTTGGGCAAGCACCCTCTGGGGTTTGGGGCGCCACTGACTCCCTTCCCCACTTGCCCCTGTGGTATAGTGGCTAGCGCGTCGGACTGTGGAGTGAACCATCGCGGGTTCGACCCCCGCCCGGTGCGCAACTTTCTTGCTCTCAACGCAATTTCGTCGTTCTGACGGTCTTTAAATTTTCACTGTCAAGCAATCGTACAATTATTCCTCCTTTTTTTACTGTCAAGCGTCAGCTATCTGCTACACATTTTCCTTTCAGCAAGTACACGAGCGCCATTTTCCTGGAAGTCGACCAGCCGTTTAAATGTGACCATTCCACGGCCGACTATTTGAATCGTTTTGTCGATTTGCTACAAAAAGGAGACCGGTTAGAAGAGGCGAATTTGCCCTTTAATGTGAGTGCATTTTAGATATAAAAAGCGTAAAAATGTTTTCGCAAAGAAACAGGGTAATTCTGTGATCTACAAATGCTCGAACAATTAATAGATTTCTGTCACGACAATTGGGCCAAGAACCTGAAACTTTTCAATTTTAGGGGATGTTTATAATTGTTTGGGACGAGCTGGGAAATGCTATTAAAAAATGTGCTACTTAGATGACAAAATCACACTAACACCATATCTGGTTAATTCTAGGGACTATCTTTTGAAACATGCTTTTTCGAAAAATTTGGTTTACGGTTTGCGGCAAATGGCTTCGCCCTTGCACGTACAAATTTGATTTGAAGCCAAAATTAAAGGGGCTCGAAATCTGGTCCACGGGCCCCTGCTGTGATTCCTGGCAAATAGCCAGATGCGCCCGCAACGCGACCGCGCCGCATGGTCTTTTGCCCCGGTTTGGACGCGACAACGCTTGAATTTAAAAATTCTGATGCTATTTTTGGAATCTTCACCAAATTTTGATCATTCTAGACTTTTAAATTATGCAAATTGACCAGAGAACCACCGAGATCGAGAGATTGGGTGCCTTACAAAGCATTACGACATGTAATCGCCGCGCACTCAAAATGTCGTTTTCGCCCCAAAAAGAATTCGGATTTTCTCAAATATTTTACGTTTTTTTCGCAATGAAATCACTTTTCTGGCACTTCTCGGCAGTAACCCTTTCGTTTTTTGACCGGTAGGTTCAATCCCCGCACGCACGAATTTTGACTTCTGAGCCCCTTTAAGTTCTAATGGAAAATAAAAAATTCGACTCGGGCTGATTCAATTAGCTAATTCAATTGACTTCGCAGGCTAAATTCTTCCAAAAAGGGCGGTCCGCAAAAGCGAATTTGTCGAAACATCGCAATTTACTGCAGTATCTTAATTTTCCGCTGCTATAACTGACCGTTGTTAGCTCTCATTTTCTTTGCTGATAAACTGTAACTTCAAACTTAAATCTGCCATTATTTAATTAATATATTTAATAAGTTAATATATAGCTTTACATTTGAGTTTTTTGAGCAAGTTCCTTAAAATACTTGTGCAGCGAACGGCGTGGAATTAGTCAAACTTTGATATCATTTGTCCGGTTAATTGGATGAAACATTTTTCGATAAATTCGTGTTCTAATTTTGTAGGAAACTGAATTCCTGGAATCGCCGGTGCAAAAACGGCTGAAGGTCGTTTTTGAAAAATGTCCAAAATGCCATCCGATCGATATTTCGGAGGAGCTTATTGGTGGGTTTTTTTTCGTTTCAGAGCGAATAATGAAAAATTTGTTGTTTGTTTTTGTTTTGTTTGAAACCCATTTTTAGAACGGCAACGTGGCATGCTAAAAACGTACGACCCCGACACATTAATGGCAATCGTGGATAATGATTGCCATTTGACGCCAACTGGATTAAGCCTGATTGAAACGCCCATAAAAGAACAAGTCCTCAGCGTCATTAATAAATTAACGTAGGCGGGTCCGGCGATCGGCGAATTAATTACCAGAAAGACGAGCATGGAAGGAAAAATTCCGTAACATATTTTTTACCGAAAGTGCAACACATCGTTTACATTTGGACCTGGACTGAACCTTTTGCGTTATCGGGGGAGGGGGGGAACTTAATTTTTTAAAATATTTGACTTTTTGGCCAAAAATGTCTGAAAAATTGTCACAAATGAAATTTTCGAATTTTCAAAATTCTTAATAAAGTTTTTATAACTTTCTAGCAATCAAAAATCACGAAAAACATTATCAAAACACTATTTATTATTAACGGGCAGGTATAGACGCTAAAATAAAAATTATCTGTGCCCCCCGCTCAGCATCCCCCCCCCCCCCCCCGATAACAGTCCAGTACCATTTATTGGTTCAGTCAGTTGTGGGGGCGCGAAGATTGCAAAACACCTGTCCGAAAATCATCTGTCCGAAAAACACCTGTCCGAAAAACATCTGTCCGACAAATCACCCGTCCGAAAAAACATGTGTCCGAAAAGTCGCTTGTCCGAAAAACACCAGTCCGAAAAACTAATGTCCAAAGCAGCCAATCAAAGCCCTTTTCGAATTACTTAGTCAGTTCCTAAAGGTTCGAGGTGTAGCCCAGGCAGATAGGCAGAAGGCAGATAGCCCCACGTGGGGGAACGCCCCGGAATTGTGACCAAACCAAGTTTCATCGGCCGTATCTTAGGGAATGCCTGCCCGAGCTCGTTCAGTCACTCTCCAAAAATTTATGATACAGTAGCGGTTCGTATCCCTGGAAACTACCCTCCCATTTTCTCCAAAATCCGGTTTGAAAAGATTACCTGAAGGTCTTGGGAAGTTTCAGTCGCACTTCGATTTCATGGTACGAAATTTACTTTTCGGACGGTTGATTTTCGGATGGATGATTTTCGGACAGGCGATTTTTCGGACAGGCGACTTTTCGGACAGATGTTTTTTCGGACAGGCGATTTTTCGGACAGGCGATTTTTCGGACAGCTGTTTTTCGGACAAATGTTTTTCGGACAGGTGTTTTTCGGACAGGTGATTGCCACCCGGGCGCAAAATATGCCAAATAACACTTTTATTCCGGGCATCACACAGCGTAAACACACATTCCATAAATAGTGGGCAGCAGACAAGAAAATAGGATTCGATGGCTGGCTCGGTCGATTCGGCGACTTCTCAGCAAATGCGCGGCTTCACCAATGGTTCGTGACCGATGCTAAAATAGAAATTAAGCTATGTTCTGTTGAAACTGCTAAAATGTTTAATTCAATAAAAGCACGTCTTGAAAAATGCCAAGCTTTTAAGCTAGAAAGTCAGAGTTTCATAACTGTTTATTCCGAAATGTTAAAGCTTTAAGATTTTTATAAAAAAATATAACCACTCGCTTTTCGGCCAAAAATGGCTTATTTACGACCAAATCTCTAATTCCATAAGTTTTTTTTAGATAGTTTTACCACTTGGAAGACGGAAAATCAGGAATTCCTTCTCATGCCTTGAGGGAATTCACAAAACTGATTTTTTTTAAATCAACATAAACATCTGAATTCAAAATAAATAAAACCCCACCTGGAATCCGGGCCGCCCGTCTGCAGCTGGCGGTAGAACACTACAAAAAATGGTCATATTCATATTTTTCAAAGAATTTCATAGAAAAATGTTTCAAAAAGATCGCGTCTCGCCACTGTTGATTCCGTACTAGTTAGTTGTTCGACGGAATACAACCCACTTTCCTTCTTGACGCGCTCCATCTTGGAGGGACGGCTGAAAAAAAAGATGCTTACGCGCAAAATTGCAAAATGTTTCATTGAATTTGATTGAGATAAATTTTGAAAGTATCCCATTATGACGCATTCCTTTGTCAATCGATTTTGGGTGTTTCGCGTTACCGGGGAGGCTAATTTTTTTCCTTTAATTTCAGAAACGTCGTAGTAAGTAGCTTAATCTTGTTTTTAGTTAAATTTAATTATATTCCAAGTGGCAAAATTGGCTCAAAATCTGAAAATCTTAATTTAAAATCGGCCAGTGGTAAGGAAAATCACTATATTTTGAAGTTAATAAAAATTTGTAAAGTTTTTACGTGAAGTCCCGTGGGCTGGATAATTTTTGGCTACGGTTTACTTTACCCCCAGCCGGAAGTTTTTGGCTATAACTTTTTTATTTTACATTATTGTAGGCTCAAATTAAAACTCTTAGTATATTTTTCGACGCTGTATCGAATGGCGTTGCAAAAATCCCGACAAAATAAGCGAAAATACCGAAAACTTTGAGACCCTTCGGCTGTGGGGGTAAAGTAAACTCTTACCTAATTTTTTAATCAAATGGCAAAAAATGCTCACGTGATTGCGCAGAAGATGATGAGAAGGAAGATGACGAACACGAGCGTGCCCACGAAAATCGAGATGCCGAACGAACGGCGGCAGTCCAGGTCGCAATTCTCTGCAAAGGAATCGGAATAGAATTGTTTTAATAAAGCTTAAAATTGTTCAATCGTCCATTTTATGTTAAGAAATTTCTAAAGAATTGCTACCAATTTTAGATTTTAAAAACTTGTATTTTGAAAAACTCGCACAAGGATGTGACGCTGCGAGAAATAAGACGTTTCACGAAGTCGTAAGGCCCACTCCGAAAAGTACGAAAAATTCCCAGCACCTTCATTTAACCGCCAATTTAATTTTGTCGTTTTTGAATCATGTTGTTTCGCATTATCAGGGGGGAATCCTTTTTTCTTAGTATCCAATTTTTCTATTAGCAATCGAGGGAAAGTTTCTAAACTGTTTTTTACTATTTACTATTCATAAACGCCAAAAAGTCACAACGTTGAGTACAATAAATAGAGAGACATCGATCGTTCGACGAGAATTTCAAAGTTTAACGGGATAACGACGGCATAAGTAATCGGTGACGCGAGGGAAAGAAAATGTCTCTGCGTCTCGCCCCTGGGCGCGTTCTCTGCCCTGTTGGCTACGTGCCAAAAAGTCGATCAGGGATCACTTATGCCGTCGGTAACCCTTTAAGATTTTGAAAAGATTTTTAGATAGCTTTCCAGAGGCAACATAGCTAAATCTGACTAATAACCGTATTGGAATCGTTTCGGTTGCGTTCCTAGGTTTTTTAGACTTAGGCAAAAACTGAGGCTGCCCGGCCGTTTTGGTTTTTCGAAAATCGAATTTTACGTACATGTAAAAATAAAGTTTCAGCAATGGCAAGAAATGTTCAAAATTGACGATGTTTAGTGCTTGAGTTGGGGGAATTTGATAGTTTGATACCCATTCAGGATTTTTTAAATTTAAAATTTAAATTCATTTACTTTTTGACATTTATTGTTGATACTTGATTAATTGTGGTAGGACCTTTGCCTTAAAAAACAATTACTTTAGTGGTTTTGAAAGTGTTGAATTCTCCAAAACCACAAACCAGCTTCCTCTTCGCGGCGTTTGGCCACCATCGCGTACGTTCGCTCGGCGCTCGTAGAATTGGCCAGCTTTTCGGCGCATTGCAGCCCGTTCCACTTTGCTAGAGCCACACCGGCGCCTTCGGATTTCTGCAAAGAAAGTATGAAAATTATAATGTTTCGATATATATTGCATAAACACGTTCATTTTTAAATGAATACTATGTTGTTCTTCTTAAAGCGCACGTTCAGGGACGTATATTTATATTGAACGTATATGGCCTATTGACGCCGAGAGACTGGGAAAAGAAGGAGACCCAGGTGTCAATAGGCAATATACGTTCAACGTGCCTGAACGTGCACTTTAAGTCGCGTAAATATTTATTAAAATCATATTTAACCAGCGCCCAAAACCCGCTTCGCGGGCCTTGGGCGCTGGAATGCGGCCTTTGCATAAAAAATTTTACTTTCCAATAGCCCGGGTCCTGCGGACCCCTCCCCCCGGCCCCGACCAAACCCGCGAGTGCAACTGGCCAAAATGAGTAAATTTGGATTTTTTTCACATTATGCAAATTAGCCCTCCTGGACCCCCAAAAATGAATAAAACCGGCTTTAACTTTGTAAACTTGTATTTTATCGAAATTCTGAAAGCGCCATCGGAAAGAGGAGGGTCGATTCCCCCAAGTGACGGAAAAATAGCGCGTTTTATCCAGGGGAAGGTCCTTAAATCAGGCGTCGAAAGTGACATCCACACACACACACACACACAAAGATACGCGACCAAATTATATAAGGTAGGATTATTTGGTAATTAAACAAAGTAATAATTAACTAGCTTTTAATTTAATTATTATCTATTAAAATAATTTCCATTTTTATTTATCGGTCTTTCACGTTATTTGGGGCATGGCGCGTAATGAAGTAATTTGCAGTGTAAAGTAAAAATTCCTGACTAGGAAAATTGAGGAAAGTCAGAAATGTTTGAAACGTTTAATCTTTAGTGGAAAAATCGCTATTTCTGCATTTTGCGACCAAATTATGAAGCTTAAAAATTTCTTTAGCCGATTTAACTTTTGGTTTCAAATTTAAAGTTAAATAATTGAATCTAAAAGCTTAAAATTAAAAAGCAATTGAAAATTTCGCCAATTACCTTAATAGCCTTGTGGACACAGCGACAAACATCCTCGTCACACCAAGTCCGCCCGCGTTGATAGTGGTAGCAGCGCTCGTGGAAGATGCAACACTCCGAGATACGGCCTGAAAATTGAATGATTTGCCGGTTCTTGTTTATTATCGGGGGGAGGAGGACCCTCCATCCGACCCCCACTAACCGTATCTCGGCTCCCTGTTCATCTACAGGTGTGTATAGTATACCAAAATATTCGCCAGAGCAAGACGAACATTTTGGTATACTTTACACACCTGTAGATGAACAGGGAGTCGAGATACAAAAGTTGGATGCCGGCTCGGGGGGGGGGGGGGTAGCTGCACTTTAACCGGGGGACTCCGGATAGTCCCCCCGCAAAGGCACCAGAACCTACCTAACAAAAACCATTTTTCTACATTTTGTACGACACGACTTGGGTAAAAATGA